TGGGCGTGGATTGGGCAGAGCCGACGGGCGTTGGGCCTGCATTTCCGTTGGACTCGAGGCTGGCATGCCGCGTCAGGCGCTGGTGGGCCGGCATCAGGTCTGACTTCCATTGATTTCCATTCACCTGCTGCAATTTTGGCACAAAGTCGCCTTCCTCATTATCCAGCGTGTCAGCGGAGTCGGCCGTCAAATCGTTACTGGTGCTGGCATCGTGGGTGGACGAACTGGAAACGTCACCCAGCGACTGGATGTACTGTTCCAGCAGATATATGTGTGGCTGCAGCGTCATCACGAAGCCCCGATACAGCGATCCGTTGTGCTCAAAGGTCCACTGGCTGAGCTGCTTCAGAGCCGCCTCCGTTCGCTTGCATGAGTTTACCGACTCGCTGCGGATGATTACATTCACTATCCGGGAGATGGAGGCCGCATCCTGCAGCAGTATGGACAGCACCAGGGCGTAGTCCGTGCAGTTGGCCTCGATGAACAGCTGGAGAAGGTACCGGAGTTTGATGGACAGCTTTTCGGGCAACGGATCAGACAGCAGGTCGTCCTCGGAAGCCGGCAAAGAGTACAGCCGGCGGTAGCGGAAGTTGTCAAACGACAACTGCGAGCTGGAGCGAGCTTTCAAGATGGGCAGGGAGCTGTGCTGCAGCTCCTCCTCCTCCTTAATGCTGGGCTGCAGTTGGGGTGACTGCGTGGCCGCTCCATTGGGCGTGGCTAGGCTGAAGTAGCCCGACTCTGAGGTCTGCGATGAACCGCCGCCCGCCTGCCGATGGGTTGCCCTTAGCTGAGCAAAGTCGTCCTTGCCCGAAGCTGGAAACGGACTCGGCAGCTGCAGCTCCTCGTGGAGAGCCTGCAGGGCGCCAGCGAAATCGTCCAACTTGGCTGTCCGCTCTGCCTCCTGCGACAGCCAGGTGACCAAATGAAAGTCCAGATACGCGCACATGTACCCCAGGTCCATGAGCTTATGGTTCTGGAGCAGCTGTCTGGCATGGCGCTGCAGGATCAGGTCAATGCAGAACGTTTCCCGTTGCTTCGTGGAACGTCGACGCACCACAGAGGGCGCACCCGAGCTACTCGTCTCGCCGATGGGTGTGGCTGCCATTCCGCTGCCAGATCCAGCCGCCTGCTTGTCCTTGGGCAGATTACTGGTCACTGTGGTGGAGAAACTGCGCTCCCGGGCAATGGGGCCCAGGACCATGTTGAAGGCATCTGCATTCTGGTTAACCTGCTGTTGGGTGTTCACCTGCGGCGGTGGGGCAATCTTCACGTTGACGACCATCGAGGAGCGCGGCGAATCGATCTCGTTCGGGTCGATGGCCTTGAGAAAGCGAATCAGATCCTTTGCCAGCTCCCACTTTCTCTGCTGCAGGGCAATGTCCAGCAACATTGTGGCGTACTGCTTGCTGACCACCGAAGGCTCCAAGTTCTGCAGGATGATCAGGTAGCTGGCCGCCGTGTCCAGCTGCTCCGACTGCAGACAGAGCTGGAAGAGGTCCTTGGGCTTGCCCGCCATGGAGAAGAGGTAGGGCCACAGGGCAATCTCCGTCTTCCTGGCGCACTGCACGATGGTCTCCAGGTAGACGGGGAACTCGCGGATAAAGTCGAGAATGCTCGGCAACTGAGCGTCGGGTATGGGCTGCTTGCTGGTGGCCTCCTCCTCGAGAACTTCGTGCAGCAACAGCTCCAGGGCATGCGGGAAATAAGGCAAAGCGCGGCACGACTGGGCGATCTCCCAGGCAGAGTAGCCGAGATTCCGTTTGATAAGCTGTCGCAACACTTTATGCAGGTAGATCTGTGACTTGCGCTCCATCAGGGCGAATGGCAGGGAGAAATGGGACGACGACTCGTTGGTGTACAGCGTGCTCTCGTTCTCCACGCCCAGCACAATCACATTGTCGAAGAGGATCACCAGAGGATATACTTTGAGGGGGAAACTCAGCATGATCCTCTTCGACATGAAGCTGTGCAGGCGCTGGGCGCCACCTTGCTCCCTTCTCTCCCGTCCAGGCGGCAGAATGGGCAGCCAGACGCGCATTCCATGCGCTCCCGAGTACAGCCACAGGCAGTCCCTCATGGCGCACCGCTCCAGGGTGTGGGAGAGCCAGAAGCATTCGACGCAGCTGGCCAGGCACGTGGCCAACAGAGTGTTGGGCACATTCTCATTGGCATCGCGTTGTATCATCAGGATGCGGCCGCACACATTCACAATGATCGTCTCGGCCTGGTCCTGCTGCTGTCCCTGCAGCTTCAGCTCGTTCTTCAGGTTGGTCACCGTCAGGCTCACAATACAGGCGGGGTGGATGCAGATGCTCTTCACATCCAGCTCGTACGCACACTCAATGTCTATGGCGTAGGCCGACTTCTTGGACATGTGGAAGAGACTCACGATGCCGTCGGCTGTCAGCACGATCAGCTGGTTGCGGAAGACATTAAGACTGATGACGGGAGCCCGCACCTGCAGCTTGTGACCGAACTGATTGTCCAGCTTGCATTCAGCGGGGTAGCAGCGCAGCTCGTCAGTTCTGTCCAGTAGGGAGTAGCAGCCCATCACGATGAAGCCGTGCCACCACACCAGCCCGCCAGACACCACAAAGTCCTTCTCCTGCGACTCGTTGCCAAACAGTTTCCACTTTCTGGTCATGAGGGAGTAGTGGGCCAGGCCCGTTCGCCCAGCCACGGCCACGTGGAGGCCCTCCTTGTCTATCGCCGCATACCTGATGGGCCAATTGGTGGATGCGTAGTTCAGGGGCAGCTGCAGCAGGGTCCAGTACTTGCTCTCCGTCAGGATGCTGCCCATGTTCAAGCTCTGCTTGAGCTCCAGGCAGTCCTCCTCCGGCTGGTCGGCTCCTCCGCTGGAGGGGAATGTAAACTTGTTGCCGCCATAGGTCTCCTCCAGATTGTTTCCCTGATTGATGTACAGGCAGTCATCGCCCTGCAGCAGAATGTGTGGATTGGCCGTCATGCAGGGATTCATGCTCAGTGCGCTCTTCACAAACTGAAGCTGTAGCACGTTGTTGGCTTGGCTCTCCGCCTCCTTCATGAGCATGAACAGCTGATAGCCCTCCGTGGACCATTCCAGGCGGCGCATCTTGAGTGGATTCTGTTTCAGCAGATCGACATTGAGGCCAAAGTCCCAGCTAAGCGTGGACATTAGCAGGGCGCCGAAGGTACTCCAGAGCGACAATCCACCATTGGCCCAGCTCACAGCCAAAACACAACCATCGGGACTCCACTTGAGTTCATTCACAGCGCCCAGGCTACCAGGCAGCACGTTCTCTGTGAGGGTCAGCCGGTGAGAGAACTCCAGTCCTCCGGTGGCATCGTCTATCGCATAGACATTGACCGCCGAGCTTTCCTGGCCATAGGCCAGCAGGCGGAACTTGTGGTTCACGCTGCAGACACTAGCATCCTCGACGTCCTGCACCCAAAAGCCGTGCATGTGATCCGTCTCAAACTTCAGGTGATTGGCTATTAGAAAGGCGGCACGGCGATCGCTGAAAACGGCCGCACAGCCTCCAATGAACGGTGAGTATTCCAGGGATGCCACAAACGAGTCGCTGCCCAGTGGAGGGAAGTTCTTGGCAGGCGCTTGCTGTTGCTGCACGTAGAAGGGAATGTCGCGCAGCTTGATGGAGGCCAGGGCAGGCAGCTCCTGCTCGTTCTCGGCCAATTCCAGTTGGGTCCATTGCAGACGTAGCAACTCACAAGATTGGGTGGCCAGCAGCAGCTCGCTCAGGCTGATGCAGCAGACGGTTGTGATTACCGAGCCCAGGGTGACGCTGCACAGCTCCCTCAGGCTCAGGCGGGGTATGTTCTCCTTGATGAACAGCTCCGCAGAGTCCCTCTTCAGGCTGGCCGCTGGGGGATCCACCTGCATCAGTATGCCACTGCCATTGGCATCGAAGTCCAGCTGGTAGACCAGCAAGGCTCCCACGCTGGTGAGCAGAGCCAGCTGCCTGGAGTCGGGTTTCCAGACAATCAAATTGTTCGTCCCATACTGCTTGAGGGACTCCTCCGTCCTGCGAAAGTAGGCAATGGGTATCAGGGGATTGGCGTACCAGATTCCAAGAAAGTCATCGCCCACGGCGGCCACGAGTATTTTGACGGCATCACAGCAGATGTGACGTATATTGGCACTCTCTCCGGGCAGCGCCAGACTAACCCGCTTGGGCCAGCCCACTGGAAAGTACATCCTCCGAGTGAAAAGTTACTGCGCAAGGAGAACAGAACGTTGAGAACGTTAGCAATCTGGAATGCATGGCGAAACTGATGTTTACTTGCGGCAAGTCGTGTCTGCATTTACATTTTATCTTGAACGACCAATTTTACATATTTTATCTCAACTAATTAGCACAATACAACACAAAATCTCTGCAATTTACGCGTATACAAATAAGAGTGTTGGCAAACATTTCGAAATCTCAGCTGTTTGCCAAAACATCTGTTTTGCAGCACTGATTTTGCACCGCGGTCTAACGTGACCGTTTACGGTCGGTATATTTCAGTGTTTCTCCGAGCAACCTTGTTCCCCACCATGAGCACGGAATGCGTAACATTCTGCTACCCTTGGGAAAAGGCTATTATGGAATTGACGAAATTGGCGCCAATCAATGAAAAAACTATTCAATCTGTCTCAACGAAATGTGGCAAATTATAGACACCTATATTGTAGATAAATTGTAAGGTTAAAAGCACTAAGAAACGCAGTTGGGAAAATGAAATTTTAATATTAATTAACGGAATTAGGGTACACATTCTCACTCACATAACGTTTTATACCATTGTTTGGCTGACTTTTTTTAAAATAAATAAAAATAAAAGAAAGTCATGAAAACTAGCCATCCTTGTTGTGAAGTGATTGATAAATTTATTGATTGAATCATAAAAAAGCAAAATTAAGGAAAATGATTTAGGACGGTATATTTACGGTATATATTTTAGCGGATAAGGTATATTTCTGTATATTTGATCGATAGCTCCCAGTCAGATTGTCAGCCGGCGGTTTTTGCATTGAAAATTATAAAAAATATAAATATAAATAAAATACAGAATGACCGCATTTGAGGGTGAGTAGCTAGCAAAGTTTATACTATTTTGGTTAATAAATAATTCACGTTTAGAGTTTGGCGTTCTCCCGGAGCTGGGAAAGGCCACCGACGAAGCTGACTGGACGTAAGAAACATTTTGCGAGATGAAACATTTTACAATAAATTGGTATCATTGCAGCCTGCCGACCGATGTGCAGGCGGAGGCCATACCTCTCATATTGGGTGGCGGCGATGTGTTGATGGCCGCCGAGACCGGTTCCGGAAAAACGGGAGCCTTCTGTCTGCCCATCCTGCAAATTGTGTGGGAGACTTTACGAGACATTGAGGAGGGAAAGGCTGGCAAAGGCGGCGGGGGCACCGCAGCAGCTGTGTCCCCCTGGACAATGTCCTTTTACGATCGGGGCAATGCTCTAGCTGTGACCCCTGATGGACTGCGTTGCCAGTCGAGGGAGTTTAAGGAGTGGCACGGATGTCGTGCTACCACCGGAGTGCGCGGCAAGGGAAAGTTCTACTTTGAGACGACAGTAACGGATGAGGGACTGTGCCGTGTCGGCTGGTCCACACAGCAGGCTAATCTGGATTTAGGAACCTGCCGGCATGGCTTCGGATTCGGCGGAACGGGCAAGAAGTCAAACAATCGTCAGTTCGATGACTACGGCGAGGCCTTTGGCAAGGCAGACGTCATTGGCTGCCTGCTGGACTTGCAGCGCCTGGAGCTGAGCTTCACCAAGAATGGCCAGAGCCTGGGCGTGGCCTTCCGCGTGCCAGAGAACCTCAGCAAGGAAACATTTTACCCGGCTGTGGTTCTTAAGAACGCCGAAATGTTGTTCAACTTTGGCAAAACAGACTTCAAGTACAGTCCAGGCAATGGATTCGTAGGTGTCTGCCAGGCCGGGTCGGAGCACATCAAGGCCAATCCCTTGGCCAGTCCCACCGCTAATGCGACAGCCGCCAAAGCAGCCCCCAACGCTCCCCAAGCCATCATTATAGAGCCCAGTCGGGAGCTGGCCGAACAGACCTACAACCAGATCGAGAAATTCAAGTACCACTTGAGTAATCCGGAAGTACGCTCCCTGCTGCTCATAGGCGGGGTCCGACTGGACGAGCAGAAGGCTCAGCTCCAGCAGGGCATCCACATTGTGGTGGGCACTCCCGGCCGCCTGGAAGAGTTGATTAACAGTGGCTTCGTGCTGCTCACCCATTGCCGGTTCTTTGTGCTGGACGAGGCAGACGCGCTGCTCAAGCAGGGCTACACGGATCTCATCGACCGTCTGCACAAGCAAATACCAAAGATCACGGCGGAAGGGCGCCGCCTCCAGATGATTGTCTGCTCGGCCACGCTGCACGCTTTCGAGGTTAAGAAAATGGCCGAGCGCCTGATGCACTTCCCCACCTGGGTGGATCTGAAGGGCGAAGATGCCGTGCCCGAAACCGTACATCATGTGGTCTGCCTGGTGGATCCGCAGGCAGATCGAAGCTGGCAGTCCCTCCGCCAGCCCATCCGCACCGACGGTGTGCACGATCGCGACAATGTGCATGCCAGCTATCCGTCGGAGGAGACCTATTCGCAGGCTGTCAAGCTCCTAAAGGGCGAGTACTGCTTCCATGCCATAGAGAAGCATCAGATGGATCGTGCCATCATCTTCTGTCGCACCAAGCAGGACTGCGACAACCTGGAGCAGTACCTCAAGCAGCGCGGGGGTCAGCGCTTCTCCTGTGTCTGTCTGCACGGCGACCGTAAGCCGCAAGAGCGCAAACAGAATCTGGAGATGTTCAAGCAGCAGCAGGTCAAGTTCCTGATATGCACAGATGTGGCTGCCCGCGGTCTGGACATCACAGGATTGCCCTTCAGTGAGTGTTTCTCCCATCATACGTTTTATTTCCTTACCAATCCTGTCCATTCGATTTGTAGTGATAAATGTAACTCTGCCCGACGACAAGGCCAACTACGTGCACCGCATCGGACGTGTTGGTCGAGCCGAGCGCATGGGCCTGGCCATCAGTTTGGTCTCCACGGTGCCGGAAAAGGTCTGGTACCATGGCGAGTGGTGCAAGTCGCGCGGCCGCAATTGCAGCAATACCAATCTGACCGATGTTCGCGGCTGCTGCATTTGGTATAACGAGCCGAACCTGCTGGCCGAGGTCGAGGATCACCTGAACATCACCATACAGCAGGTGGACAAGGCCATGGAGGTGCCCGTCAACGATTTCGACGGAAAGGTGGTCTACGGGCAGAAGAATCTGAACACCGGCACCGGCTACAAAGACCATGTGGAGCAGCTGGTGCCGACGGTGCGGAAACTAACAGACTTGGAACTGCAATCACAATCTTTATTCTTGAAACGCCTTAAATTCTAATTTTGGATTTGGATTGAGTGTTTGGGTTTTGCTAAGCAAGGACAATGTTACATCGATGTTACACGCGAAACGGGAGGAGTTGGCCCTACAATTGGATAGTCTATGGTGGCCAACACTCGCGGGAATACTTTATGGTACACAAACACACACACACACATAAATATCTTTAGACATCGGAGATGGGCCTCGGACTCGACTTTAGACCCGCTCCAGAGAACGCACGAGATACCATTACGAGTAAACATTAAATAAAACTAACATTAAAATCTTCTGTCTAAAGAGTATACAGCCTCGGGTCCGAGTTTCTTTACAGTCACTAGTCGGCATCCTCCTCCTCCTCCTCTTCTTCCTCCTCGAGGAACTCTGTCCGCATCTGCTGCAGCTGCCGGAGTTGCTGGCACAGTTGGTTGCCGAAAGATTCCACATAGCGGGGACTTATCTTGTCCAGCAACGCATAGGGTGTTTCAAAGATCTCCTCGTCATCCTCTGGCGCGGCTTCCTCCTCATCGTCGATGTGCAGCTTGGCAGCCATCCTCTTGTCGGCATCGACGGTGTCGTACAGGGAGGAGACAATCTTGAAGCCGCGACTGGTGACCTGCACGCAGCAGGTTGCACTCTCTATGGTCCGTATGTTCAAGTATATCTGCGTGGCATCGCTGGCCAGCTTGGAAGAGATGCATATTTCAGCGACGTGCGCCTTCACATCGTTGATGATCGCATTGGCCTCGTCAATGCAGTTAAACGCTTGTTCTTCGCAGTCCCCTTCGCTGGCTTTTGAGTCGCCCATGCTATCACGTCGCCTCCTGGTTTTCTTGTCTCCGTTTTAATTGAATTTAGCTTAAATTTATTCGATTTTTACAAGCGCAACATGTTTTTTCCCATATGTCACAGCCAGTGTGAACGCGGATTTATCGACAAAATATACCATGTGACCCTCAGAAAATATATCGGAATTGCTGTAAATAACAACTGCGAAACTAAAGTTATTTTAATGAATCCCCGTTTATAAATATTTAAGTTTTTATTAAATTGTCGCCACTGCCATGTTATCCATCTATTAAATTCCATACCATATCCGTTGACAAGTTAAATATGTATTTGGATTCACCAATGCACCAATTCATTCTACTCTATGTTTCATAATTAATGTTTAAAATCTGTTTGGAAACCAGAATTTTAACAATACTTAATTGAATTAGGGTATACGAAGTGCCATACCATACCACCGATTGACAAGCAAAAAGTAGCCAAATCACGTAACATTCTTACGTTTTATGCTAATTGTTTGTATTTTTACCTTTTTAGTTTGATCCTTATTTTGTAAGCAATCAAATACAAAGAAGCCAAAAAAAAACAAGACAATCTTGTGGAAAATTGATTGATGAGTCGAATAAAAGTATAGTTTTAGCGCTGAGAGTCTCAACTAGCTGGCAATATTAATCAGAATAGCAAAGTCTAGGAAAATGGTTTAGGATTAAAGGTATATTTTGAAAATGACATGGTTTTATTAGATATATTTTACTGATAGATCCGGACGCCACCCGCAATGCATTATGTCTAAAATTCAAGCTGGCATCGATCTGCTGATCCAAGAGGCGGATGATCTGTGCATTGGGAACAGTATCGCGGAGCTAGACCACCTCCCCAGTGCCTTGGAGTTTTGCCGCGACTACTATGCCAAAAACTCGCCGGTCGTCATCCGCAATGCGGTAGCGTGGCCGGCCATTGGCAAATGGACCCCGGAGTACCTGGTCGAGAAACTGAACGACAAGATTGTGGATGTGGCCGTCACACCGAATGGCTACGCAGATGGTCTGGCCACCCAGAAGGGGCGAGAGTATTTTGTCCTGCCCCTGGAGAAGCGAATGAAACTCTCAGAGCTAGTCGTGCGGCTCGATGATCCCATGGGCGCCATCCACTACGTACAGAAGCAAAACTCCAACTTAAGCCAGGACTTCCCGGAGCTGGCCAGTGACCTGGTGATGGGCGACTTGGACTTTGCCCAACAGTCCTTCAATAAGACCCCAGACGCCGTCAACTTTTGGCTGGGGGACGAGCGCGCGATTACCTCCATGCACAAGGATCCCTATGAGAATATGTACTGTGTGATATCCGGCTATAAGGACTTCATTCTCATACCGCCGCATAAGCTGAGCTGTGTTCCACGCAGCACCTATCCCACGGGCGTCTACAAGACATCGGATTCTGGGCAGTTCTACATAGATCCACTGACGGACGAGGATGGTGTGGAACAACTGACGGAGTGGGTCAGCATAGACCCGCTGGCCCCCGACCTGGCCAAGTATCCCGAGTATTCGAGAGCCAAGCCACTGAAAGTGCGAGTCCATGCTGGCGATGTCCTGTACCTGCCCAACTACTGGTTCCATCATGTCCAACAGAGCCACAAATGCATCGCAGTCAATTTCTGGTATGACATGGAGTACGACAGTCGCTACTGCTACCATCGCATGTTGGAGGAGCTAGCCAGTAAGGCGAGCTAGCCCCACTGCCTAGGAACGAGCAGCCCATCAGTCATAATCAGTGTTTATGTAATTGTTATATAATGTTATTTAAACTAAAAATAGCTAAAACTCAAAGTGAAAACTAAACGAAAACACAAACAGAAATTAACCACTTTCTAGCGATGAAGAATGGGAGTGAGCGAGGGACGATTACCCATAAAAATATGTATATGTTGTGTCTTATGTTTTAAGTGAGATTAGGAATGTGTGGGTTGGGTTGGGTATATCGTAGCTAGTCCAGACTGATATCTTTCTTTTCCACATCTCCCGAATCGCCGGCAGCAAGACCATCCGGATCCGCGTCAGCCTCCTCATCGGGGTTCTCATTGTTCTCGCACTCGAGGTCCCCGTTGCCGTTGGAAGAGGAGACATTCTTCTGATCAGCCTCTGCAAGATCGGCATCGTTGTTGGAGTCCTGTGATTGGGAGTGCGACTGCTCACGCACTCGCTTATTTGTTTGGTTTTTGGGGCTGCTGGTGGACGACACTTTGGACTTGGCATGGCTGTCTCCTCTCGGATGATCCACAACAAAGAGTTGCTCCAAGTAAGAGCGATACCAGAGCAGGAACTCATCCCGCTGTCGGGGTATGTCCATTTTCTTAATCTTGGCATAGATCCGCTTGGGCGAAATGAGGGGCGAAGAAGCGTTTTGGGCCCAACTGGTGGCAGAGTTGCGTGCGGCCGTCGCCGTCAGCTTGGAGACCTCCACCAGCATAGAGTCGTTAATGATTGTGTTGTTGTGCGTCTGGTTCCGAATGCGCTTGATAATGTACTCGATCAGCGCATGATCAGGAGCCATCTCTACGCTGGCCACTGCCCCAGCCACCGCCACCGCTCCCGAGGTGGCACTCTCAAGGGTCGGCTCAATTATTTTCTGGCAAAATATCGAAGGATGAGTTTGGCACAGATCTTGTTAGGATTGCTCCCTCCCTCTTACCTCTTCGTTGTCTGTCCTTACAGCAGAAGCGGAAGCACCGTAAGCCCCATCGCTCAGCTCGAGGGCTTGGGCGTGCCCGTTTTGGGCTGGCTTCGCAGGGGATCCCTTCTCGTCCTCGGGCCTGTCATTGTCTAACTGCAGGCTCATTGCCTCCAAAGGCGTTTCGCTGCGGCTCTCTGTGCCCTCCGCATTAGAAGCTTCGTTCTCCGCCTCGTTCTCGTTCTCGATCTCCTGCTCCTGGGCCTGCGCACGCTCCGGGGGAGAAGTACCCTGGTTGAGGGCCTTCCGCAGGCTATGCGTCTCCTGGCTCTGCTGCAGTTGTTGCTGTTGATGCTGTTGTTGCTGCTCGAATAGGGTTTCCAGCCGCCTGTAGACATCCTCCTTGATGGACTCGTAGAACTTGGTCGTGAACTTGTCGCTTTTCAATGCATTAACAAGCAGATTTCGATTCAGCTCCTCGGAGGCAGTCTCCTCACTCTGTTCCAAAGCATTCGACTCATCCACTGGCACTCCCCTCTCATGATTAAAGCTGGAAGTATCGATTCGAGGTGCCGCTGGTGCAGAAGCAGGCGCCTGGGGCAGATCATAGTCGATGTACTGTGCTGGAAGCTCAAAGTCAAAGCGCAGATGACGTTGCTGCAGTGGAGTCAGTGAGACGGCCGAGGTGGTTGGCTTGGCTGGCACCTTGTTGCGCTGATACAACGGACTGTTGCCGAAGTTGACGTTCATGTTGACCAAATTGCAGGAGCTCGACTGATCGGCATCGTCATCGAGCAGAGGGGAGGCCGCAGGACGGCGGCGATTACGACGCCGGCCACCGCCATAGATGGCATTGTCATTGTTCTCCTCCACCTCGTCCAAGTCCTCGTCCACGAGCTGTGGATCGTCACGCCAATCCCGCTTTCTGCCCCCACTAGTGGTATTGTTTAGGTTATTGCTGTTGCTGCTGCCGCTGCCATGCAAAGCGGTTAGTGGAGACGACTCTAAGAAATGGTGCTGTCGTTGCTGCTGCTGTTGCTGCGGTTGTTGTTGTTGGAAAGACAGGACTGCGCTGGCTGAGGCGGAACTGCGCGAGCATGGCACAGCAGCATGCGACGGGAAATATGTGAGACGCGACCTTTGACGGCGATACTGCTGATGGTCCACATTAAGCTCCTCATTGCTCTTGTTGGAGAGCAGATTCTGGCGCGAGTAGCTGCAAAAGCGCAGAAATATTAATGGGTTAATAGAAAGCAGGCAATCAGGTTAGCAAAGTGTTATATTAATTAGGGGTTAGTATATAAAAGCTTTTTAGTTAGTCACTTTCAACTCTGTTAATTGAACCATTCATTTGCTTAGACTTACCGCCAGAATTATACAGAATTGAAAATGAATTGAATAACACTCAAAGGTTCTAATAATTTTTATTTCTTTGGCTTCTTTCTGCCGCCCCCATCCCGACCAAACTGACCAAATAAAAAGCAACCACAAGGCCCAAGCCACCACCACTCAAGCCCAAGTACATAAATGTAATTCAGGGTTCTCATTACCTTCTGAAGTTGTCCCAGTAGTTGTTGGCCCGATTGCCGGGCGGCACCTGGTTGTTCAGCGTCGGCTGCAGTGGCGGTGCCACAGCTGCTCCTCCGGCCACTGGCAGCGAGTGCAAATTGTTGGCGTACTGATTCTGGGTGCGCAGATTTGCGTTGTTCTGGTGGATGGTGTTGTTGTGGTGATTCATGAAAATGGGTCCCGGACTGGCGCGATATGAGGGTGGCGACAGCGGCGTCTCGTTGTTGAAGTGTGTCGGTGGCGGCGGCTGTGGCGGGGCTGCATTATTGAGGAACGGCTGCTGCTGCTGCTGCTGCTGGTGGGCATCGCTACTGGTGCTGTAAACACTTCCCGTTGTGCCCGCGTTGCGGTGACAGCTGCGCTGATAGTTGCTGAATGCGCTTTGATGGCCGCTCTGATGGGCACCGAAATTAAACATCTGCTCCGACTGGGCTCGGTGGTTGCTGCCGCCCAGGCAGAGGTTGTTGGGTATCTGGCCCAGAATGGGAGTCCCCACCGAGAGGTTCGGTGGAGGCACTGACTCAGAGCGCAAGCCGTAGCTATGGTCCTGACATCCCACAACATTGAAGCGATCCTGGAGCTGTTCGAATAGAGTTGAGAGACATTGGCCAAAGATCAATTTGGACTTGGAGACTTCGACTTACCGCATGCAGCTGATTGGTAAGATTATCGATCTCTCGCTGCTGGTGCCACAGGGTCTGATTGCACTGGCAGACCGAGTTGATGAGCATCTGCTGGGCCTGCATGAACTGCTGAAGCATCACGGCATCGGCCGATGCATTCGAGCCGGAGGCGTTCGAGGATGTGGCCTGTGGCGCAGTCGGAACAGTTGGCTTGCTCTCCACGTTGCTGGGATGCACTGGGGCATAGATGGGTTGCTGACCGTGCCAGGCATTGCTGCTGGCATTGTGCGTGGCTGCCGGCGAGACATAAATATCAGATCACAGGTCACATGGCTTTCCATTTGTACTTACCCCACATACCATGAACTGGCGCCATGGGCGGTGGCATGTACTGCGATCTGGCACTGCTCGAGAGCAGGCTATCGTTGCCCAGCGACAGCGTGTCGATGGTCACATTTAAATCCTCCTCGTTGTGCATGGGAGGAGGCGGTGGGTTGTTTGTTGGCTGCGACCGTCGCTGCTCCACCACAGTGCTGGCCGAGGGAGCACGCTTCAGGGTGGCCGACGAGGCTGTGCGCACATTGGCAAAGTACTTGTCGCTGTCGGTATCGTCGTTGCCCTCGTCATCTGCCTCCGAGGTGGTGTTGTTGCTGTTCATGTACCGCTGCTCCAGCTCGCGCTGCTTTTGCTCATACTCCTTCCGCAGACGCTCGCACTGAAGCCGCAACTCGTCGCGCAGTTGCTCGCGTGGCGGAGTGGCCTGCAGGGAGGTCTCCACCTCGGATGGCTCCTCCTCCTGAGCTTCTTCGCGCTGCCTCATGGGCGTGGGTGTCGGTGTCAGGCTGTTTCGTTTAAGCGCCTCTTCACCCATCTGCACTGCGGCCGCTGCCTGCTGCTTGCGTCGCTCGATCTCTGCCTTCAGTGCCAAGATGCGGTCGCGCTCCTTTTGCAGGCTGGCTGCTTCGGCCCTCAGCTCTGACGTGACATCGTTGAGGGTGTGCACGCGATGGCTAATATCGTCTGGGAGCAGCTGTCGTTCGATGCTCACACTCTCTCGCTCCAAAATAGCTCCGACGCTCGGGGTAGAGTCCTCAATCTGGCTGACCGTGTTCAGCATGCCCTTGAGCCTTGCCATTTGGGCTTTGAGGGCATCAATGTCTGCCGTCTTTTGGGTGATCATCGTCTGGGCGTGGAGCGCACGCTGAGCGGCATTGGCCGCTTCCTGCCGTAAAATGGGCACATTCCGTTGGTACTCTACGGGCACCACGCGATCTGTTGTGGACACTGGAGCAGGAGCAGGAGCCGGAACCGGTGGTGGAGCCGGATTTGCCGGCGTGGGAGTGTCTTCTTTGGCTTCCCTGACTGCCCGGTTGGTCTCCTTCGCCGTTTGATTGATGCTATTCAGTTGGTCGACGAGATTACGCATGTCCTCCCGCTGACTTCGCAACGATTCGAGCTTGTCCTGCAGGGCCTGCTGCTCGGCAAGGATCTCCGGACCGTCGTCACCCAGGACGCTGCTCACCTCGTTTTGATTGTGTATAAATGCGGTAAGGTTCTTCATGCGACCCACCAGCGAGGCCATGTCGTCCTGCACCTGTTGCACTGACTCATAGCTGGGACCCTCGCCACCGTTGCTCGAGTGGGGCATGTGGCTGGCGTGCTGGCGCAACTGCTCCATCTCGCTGAGATGGGACTTGGCCATGTTCTGAATGTGCAGCAGCTTGGCCTGCTCATCCTGCAGATGCTGCATATTGCGATTGGAGGCATCCAGGCGCTGCTGCAGCTCATCGAAGCTGGGCGTCGCATCGGGTGTGGGCGTCTCCAGGACGCTATGCAACGACTGTATCGACTGGGCCCGATTGTCGCTCATCTGAAAGGTGAAGAGGACATATTGATTACCTCACAAGACAGACATACTAATT